CTACCAATAGTATTTTAATGTCTCATTTTCCCCACATCCCTTCCAACATTTGTCATTTACCTTTTCTGTCCTATTAGCCAATCTAATACATGTGAAGTAGTGGCTCAGAATTGTTTTAATTTACATTTCTTCAGTCAGTAATTAGCTAGAGTATTCTTTCATGTGGACATAGATAGCTTTCATTACTTCATTTGAAAACTTAGCCTATCTTTTGATCATTTATCAATTGGGGAATGGCTCTTTTTACAAATTTGACTCAGTTCTCTATATGTTTGAGAAATGAGGCCTTTATCAGAGAAACTTGGTGCAACATTTTTTACAGTTAGTATTGCTAACTGTATTTCCCTCCATTCTGTTCCCTCCACAACATTTATTCTCGTCTCTCTCTCTTTTCACCCTGTTCTCCTCAAAAGTATTTTGCTTCTGACTACCCTCTCCCTGAATCTGTCATGTCTTCTATCCTCCCCATTTTTTCTTATTCCCTTCCCCTCCTGCTTTCATGTAGGGTAAGTTAGATTTCTTACCAATTGAATGAGTATGTTATTTCCTTTGAGCCAATTCTGATGAGAGTAAAGTTCACTCACTCTCCCTCACCTCTCCTCTCTTCCCCTCCTCTGTAAAAACTTTTTCTTACCTCTTTTGTGTGAGATAATTTACCCTTGTTCTCTTTCTCCCAGTACATTTCTCTCTCACCTTTTGATTTTATTTTTTAGATATTATCCCTTCATGTTCAACTCGCATCTGTGCCGTCTGTCTATATATACCCCTATTAACTACCCTAATAATGAGAAAGGTCTTGTAAGTTACAAATATCATCTTCCCATGTAGGAATGTAAACAGTTAAATCTTATTAAGTCCCTTATGGTTTCTCTTTTCTGTTTATGTTCTTTTTATGCTTCTCTTGAGTCTTATATTTGAAAGTCAAATTTTCTATTCAGCTCTGGCCTTTTCATCAAGAATGCTTAAAAGTCCTCTATCTCATTGAATATCTTTTTTTCCCCTGAAGGATTGCACTTGGTTTTGCTGGGTAGATGATTCTTAGTCATAATCCTAGATTCTCTGCTCTCCAGAATATCATATTCCAAGCCCTCTGATCTCTTAATGTAGAAGCTGCTAAATCTTATGTTATCCTGATTGTGTTTCCACAATACTTGAATGTTTCTTTCTAGCTGCTTGCAATATTTTCTCCTTGACCTGGGAACTCTGGAATTTGGCTATAATATTCCTGAGAGTTTTCATTTGGGGATCTCTTTCAGGAGGTGATGGTGGATTCTTTCAATTTCTGTTTTGCCCTCTGGTTCAAAAAATCAGGGCAGTTTTCCTTGATAATTTCTTGAAAGATGATGTCTAGGTTCTTTTTTTGATCATGGCTTTCAGGTAGTCCAATCAGGTAGATTTATTTTCCAGTGAGATATTTCACATTGTCTTCTATTTTTTCATTCCTTTGGTTTTATTTTATTGTTTCTTGACTTCTCATAGAGTCATTAGCTTCCACTTGCTCTATTCTCATTTTTAAGGAATTATTTTCTTCAGTGAGCATTTGGACCTTTTGGACTTCCTTTTCCATTTGGCCAGTTCTGCTTTTTTAAAGGCATTCTTCTCTCATTGGCTTTTTGGACCTTTTCTGCCAGTTGGTCTAATCTGTTTTTTAAGGTGTTATATTCTTTAGTACTTTTTTGGGTCTCCTTTAGCAAGCTGTTGACTCATTTTTCATGATTTTCTTGTGTCACTCTCATTTCTCTTCCCAGTTTTTCCTCTGCCTCTCTTACTTAATTTTCAGAATTCTTTCTGAGCTCTTCCATGGCCTGAGACCAATTGATATTTTTCTTGAAGGCTTTGGATGTAGGAACTTTGACTCTGTTGTCTTCTTCTGGTTGTATGTTTTGATCTTCTTTGTCACCGAAGTAAGATTCTATAGACTGAGTTCTTTTCCTTTGTTTGCTCATGTTCTTAGCCAATTATTTGACTTTTTAACTCTTTGTTAAGGTAAGGCTCTGCTTCCATTATGGAGGATGTACTGTCCTAAGCTTTGGATGTTTTGTGCAGCTGTTTTCAGAGATACTTCTAGGGACTTGTAAATTTTCAGTTCTTCCGAGGTGGTATGATCAAAGGAAAGGTGTTAACTTCTTTATGCCTGTGCTGTGGTCTATGAGTGACCACAAGCACTCTTTTCTGCCTTGGAAATATGAGGAAGATTCTCTCTTTATGGTGTCCTCAAGCTCCACCATGCCAGCATGCCTCCTCACCCCAGGACCACCAACCTGGGCTGCGACCCAGATTCAAGCATGGGCAAAGCAGGAGAGATCCCTGCAGTCCCCCTCTGATCAGCCACTCATTCCCCCCACAGTCTTTGGACCGAGAGCTCTGGAAAAAACTGCTACTACTGTGGCCGCCACCCCAGGGTTGTGCTAAGGCCAGGGCTGGACCGCATTCCTCTCTCTCAGGTCCAACAGATCTTTCCCATTGACCTTCAAAGTTGTCTTCAGCATTTGTAGGTTGAAAAGTGGGTTTTGTGCAGCTGTTTTCAGAGACACTTCCAGGGACCTATAAGTTTTCAGTTCTTCCAAGGTGGCATGATCTTAGGAGAGTTGTTTACTACTCTCCTGGCCTATGCTGTGGTCTGTGAGTGACCACAAGCATTCTTTTCTACACTGGAATTGTGAGGAGGGTCCCCCTCCACTGTGGCTGCAAGCTCTACTGTGCTAGTGCTCCTCCTCACCCTGGAACTGCCACCCAGGTCTGTGACCCAGATCTGAGTATGGGCAAAGCAACAGAGTTCTGCCTCAGTGCTAGCAAAAAGACCTCTGTAATCTTCTTCTGACCAGTTGTTTGGCACACTTACCATCTGTGGGCCAAGAGCTCTGGAAGCAGCCACTGCTGCTGCTGATTCAATCATTTCCAAGGCATGTTCCTGGTTTGCTGTGTCTGGGGCTGTGCTGGCATGGCCTATGCTGGACTGCACTCCACTCTCACCCGGGTGAGACAGATCTTTCCTGCTGACCTTCTAAGTTATCTTTGGTGTCTGTCGGCTGAGAGGTCTGGAAACCACCACTGCTCCCAGTGATTCAGTAGCCCCAAGGCCCGCTCTGTGTTTGTTGGGGCCTGGTTTATGTTGGCATGACCTACGCTGGACTACACTCTTCTCTCACCCTTGTACAACAGACCTTTCCTGCTCTCCTTCCAAGTTGTCTTGGGCTGGAAATTTGTGTCATTCTATCTTTTTTGTGGGTTTTGCTGTTCTAGAATTTGTTTAGAGTCATTTTTTAAAAGGTATTTAGAGGGGTTTGGGAAAGAGCTCAGGCTAGTCCTGCCTTTACTCCACGTCTATGCATATTTTGAGGATGGCCTTTGTCTACCCATAGTCATTCAGCTTCCTGAGACGTATGGAGAATACAACAAGATCCTGCTATATTACCAAAAAAAATGACTTTATAGAACAAAATACCAACTTAAGGGCTCTTCTACAATGGGGTATCTTCTAGACATATATCAAGATTATAAAAGATTCCTCGGTAGATGCAGCTACAGAGATAATTTTGTTTAGTGAGTCTCTGACTATTAAAGTGAGACATAAAGCAGATAAAATATTTGGTCTCCAAAGGTCACCATCATGTAACATGACATCCATAGTCTAAATAAATGAGAAATTCTCAGTGTAGAGATGTTCATTTTGTAGATTACATTGTGCTGATAAATTGCTTCAGACCAAAAAGTGGATTCTAGAGATTTACCTAGTACAACATACAAGGAAAAGCAAGTAGATTAAGAATATGTTTTCCCCAGAGTTTGACATGCAGTTTGGGGTCTAATCCATTGAATTAATTCATCAGTGTAAATCTTAGATAAGCACTGCAGACAGATAATGAACTAGACACATTTTCAATATAAAAGGGTAGCAGGATAATGTTTCGGAAATTACAAAGTGCTTTTGGTGATTCGCTCCCTGTCAACAAAATCTGTAACTTTCAGTACATTTCCCTAATGATACAATTTGTTTACAAATGATATAATACCCTAATCTCTAAACAATTAGTAATATATGTGACTCAAATTGCAACGGGAAAATATATAGTGGGTTAAAGTCATCCTGTTGTAGCATATTGTCAATGAAGACATGTTCAAGTGATATAAAAGATACCTGAATTTAAAAAAAGGATGTAGGCTTGTTATGGCAAGAGTGAGTGGAAACAGATTGTAGATAGGTAACTTGAGTATTGCACCAGTATCCATAAATTATTATAAGAATCCTAGAAAAAACATCCATGTATTGCTTATTAATCTCATTAATCTTGCTCTGAAAATTATTCAGTGCAGGAAAATAGGAGGAGCTTTTGCATTAGTGCACAGAATATACCACAAAAGCCAGGCATTTGTTTTTTGGTCACAAATGTGTAAAATGACATCAAGATAAGGCAGTGGCCTTGCCCTCTTCACTTTGCTTTTGGTTTGGGTAACTTTGTTTGCATACTTGTCAGATAATTTTAAAAACAGCCTTAATCTTAGCCAAGAGCATTCTGGCTGGCATTTGTTGGCTATTCTTAGCTAAATGTAGATCATGGAGTGGCTAGGATGGCATTGTCAAGGAGAGGCTATCCCCATTGTAGCAGATGGCTTCTGACAATCTAGCAAATAGTTCCAAAGAACTAAACTCCAGAAGATGGTAACAGAGGAACGCTTGGTGACCACAAGACCTACAGAGTGCTACATCAAAAAAATAACAGCCAGCCTTTTGTTGTGGAGTTGGGGGGGGGGTTGGGGGGAGGTTGTTTGCTTTTTTTTGTTTTTGCCCTTCAGACATTGACCCTCCTTACAGTTTCATGCTAGTCTTGCTATGTCACAAGAGAATTTATGCATAAATCTTGCATTTATTATAGGCTACTTTTGGCTTTTCTAACATTCTGCAATATTATGTGTAGTAAAAAGTATTACTGTGTTATTATCTTATCCATTAAAATAACAATCTGATTTAATGTATGAAAATGAATTTGTCTTATGTTTAGGTTGTCTGCAAGGTTGAAGTGGAATTTATGTTTTCCTATGGAAACTTTGGTTATGGCTTTTCACATCAGGTTGGTTCCTAATTTTTTACTTTGTTATACTATATTATATTATATATTAATTAATATATAATATATTATAATTTTCAGTAGCAATATTCTTCTTAGGCTTATTTTTTGTTTATTGTGAATTTAACAATCATCAACAAGCATTTAAAAATTCAAAGAACAAAAAAGAGGACATTGTAAGAAACTGTGAGTTTCTATTTCATATAGTTTGTTTTTTAAAGGAATATATATATATATATATATACACACACACATATAGATATATTTAACAAAATGTAACAAAATTGTTCTAATTAAGGAATACTTCTCAGCATCTGTGAATTTTTTAATATGTATTTTATTTTCCCCTCAGTTACCTGCTAAAACAATTTTTAAACCTTTTTTTGTTTTGAGTTTCAAATTTTATCCTTCCCTCCCTCCCCTCTCTCCTCCTTGAGATGGTAAGCAATAAGATATAGGTTATACTTGTGCAATTATGTAAAACATTTGTGAATTTAAAAAATACTTTGATAGCTATTTCAATATAGTAGGTTTCTAGGGGCAGCTAGGTGGCACAGCGCATAGAGCTCAGGAGTCAGGAGTCAGGAAGACCTGAGTTCAAATCTGACCTCAGACACTTGACATGTATGAGCTGTGTGACCTTGGGCAAGTCACTTAACCCCAACTACCTAAGCAAAAAAAAAATAGTAGGTTTCTTATGTAATCTTATGTATTTAATGCACTTAAAATATTATTCTAAGAAACAGTCCTGCCGAAGGGTACAAAAAAGATTAAGAAGCCCTGCTGCATTTGTTTGTGTCCCCTTCTGTACTTTTTTTGTTTTCTTCTGTGTAGTTTAACAAAACGTTTCACTGATGCTTTTTAAAAATATATCTACTTTTATCCATTAACTCATCACCTCCTCCTTTTCCCCAAATAGAAGCCCTCCCTTGATGTGTGTGTGTGTATACACACACACACACACACACACACACACACACACACACACACACACACATATATGACTGTATATATACATATACCTCTATGTGTGTATTAGTCAAGCAAGGCAAATCAACACATTGGGCGTGTCTGAGAATGCGTGTGTCTGAGATTTTTTTTCAATACTAGTTTGTTAATGTTTGTGAAAAAATATATTTAAAAGTTTTCCTCCGTCTAAGGTTATTTTGTTTTTTCTCTTATTTGATTTTTTCTCAATTATATGAAAAAATCATTTGAACATTTCTTTATTTGAAGTTTTTAATTTCCAAATTCTCTCCCTCACCCTCCTTGAGAAGACCATCAATTTGATGTAGATTGGATGTATGAAGTCATGCAGAATGTGTTTCCATATTAGCCATGTTACAAAAAAAAAACCACACACACACACACACAAAAGAAAAACAAAATAAAAAAATATCCTTCAATCTGCATTCAAACTCCATCAGTTCTTTCTCTGTAGGTGAATACCCTTTTTTATCATAGATTTTTTGGGATTGTCTTGAATCATTGTATTGCTGAGAATAGCTAAACCATTCATGATTGATCATCATACAATATTGCTGTTACTGTGTACAATATTCTCCTGGTTCTTGCTCATTTACTTTGCATCAGTTCATATAAGTCTTCCCAGGTTTTTCTTAAAGCATCCTGCTTGTCATTTCTTAAAGCACAATAATATCCCATCACAACCATATAAAACAACTTGTTCAGCCATTCCCCAGTTATTGTGCATCACCTCAATTTCCAATTCTTTGCCACCACAAAAAGAGCAGCTATAAATATTTTTGTACCTATAGGTCCTTTTCATTTTTCTTTGATCTCTTTGGAATACAGACCTAGTGGTGGTATTGCTGGGTCAAAGGATATGCACAATTTTATAGCCTTTTGGGTATAATTCTAAATTGCTCTCCAGAATGGTTGTATCAGTTAACTCCACCAACAGGACATTAGTGTCCCAATTTTTCCACATCCCCTCCAACATTTGTCATTTTTCTTTTCTGACATACTAGACAATCTGATAGATGTGAGGTAGTACCTCAGAATTGTTTTAATTTGTATTTCTAATCAATAGTGATTTAGAGCATTTTTCATGTATTTCTTAATCAAAAAGCTGCCTGTTCATATCTTTTGACCATTTATCAGTTGGGGAATGACTCATATTCTTATAAATTTGATTCAGTTCTCTCTATATATATCTCTATATATTTGAATCAGTTCTCTATAAAGTAGGCTTTATCAGAGAACAATTTCCTGCTTTCTTTCTATTCTCTGTTGCATTGGTTTTATTTGTGAAAAAGTTTTTTTAATTTAATGTAATCAAAATCTTTCATCTTACATCCTGTAATGCTCTCTGTCTCTTATTTGATCATAAATTCTTACTTATCCATAGATCTGAGGGGTAAAATTTTCCCATCCTCCCTTAATTTGCTTATGATATCATCATTTATGTCTAAATCATATACCCATTTTTTATCTCATCTCTGTATGTTGTAAGCTGTTGGTCTAATATCAGGGGTGGGGAACCTGCAACCTTGAGGCCACATGTGGCCCTTTAGGTCCTCAAGTGCAGGCCCTTTGATTGATTCCAGACTTCATAGAACAAATTGGGATTTGAGTCAGTCGAAGGGCTTGCACTTAAAGACCTAGAGGGCCACATTTGAAGTTGGGAGTCAGTCAAAGGGCCACACTTGAGGGCAGGGAGAGACACTGACTGACTTCTAACACATCTAATGTTATCTAACTTCTAATGATACCTTCTAACAGTTTCCTCTGTCAGCCAAGTGAGCTCTGAACACAGGCAATATAAATAGTAATGTAAATAGTAATGATATACATTAAAAATCAATTCAGGGGCAGCTAGGTGGCACACTGTATAGAGCACTGGCCCTGAAGTCAGGAGTACCTGAATTCAAATCCGGCCTCAGACCAAACACTTGACACTTACTAGCTGTGTGACCCTGGGCAAGTCATTTAACCCCAATTGCCTTAAAAAAAATTAATTAAATCAGAATGTATCTCTCTGCCAATGACTTTGGAAATAGGAGGCGGACATCTTGTGTCTTTCTGGGAGAGAAAACAAAAGATTGCTAATCTGTTGTTGGCCCTGAATGTACAGAAGACAGCAACTTTGCTTTTCCTCTGTGGTTTACTTTGTAGAAGACCTGGGTAAAGGTAAATACAAACATGGAAAGATGGATGTGACTGCTAGCTAGTTTAAATATGGAATAACTTATTCCAGGAGGTCATAGATAAAGACTTTTTATCTCTCTGTCTCTACACATCTACAGGTGAGCCTTGAATGGTTCATCCTGGCCTTCATGACTCATATCCTCCTGCAAAAGGAGTGGGCAGTGCTGGTGAAGGCAACCAAGGACCTGGGACACTTCTCAGAGCTGCTCTAGTTGCAGACTGAGGGTTAAGAGAAGAATAAAGAGCTCCTGAAGAATATACATCATATGTGGGAAAACTGGAACACTAAATGCATTGTTGTGGAGTTGTGAAATGATTCAACCATTTTGGAGAACAATTTGGAACTATGCCCAAAGGGCTATAACAATGTGCATACTCTTTGACCCAGCAATAGCACTTCTAGAGCTATATCCCAAAGAGATCATACAAATGGGAGAAGGACCCATATGTACAAAAATATTCATAGCAGCTCTTTTCATGGTGGCAAAGAATTGGAAATTGGGAGGATGCCCATCAGTTGGGGAATGGCTGAGCAAGTTGTGGTATATGAATGTAATGGAATACTATTATGCTATCAGAAATGATGAGCAAGCAGACTTCAGAAAAACCTGGAAAGACTTGTATGATCTGATGCTGAGTGAAATGAGCAGAACCAAGAGAACGTTGTACCCGAATAGCAGCCATGCTGTGCCATGACTAATATTGATAAACTTAACCCTTCCCAGAGATACAAGGATCTAAGACATCTCCAAAGGCCTCATGATGGAAAATGCTATCCACATCCAAAGAAAGAACTATGAAAGTTGAATTGCTATTTTTTTCTCTTCTCTTGAGTTTTGTTTCCTCTTTCTGATGGTTCCTCCTATTGGTATTAATTTTTACTTACAACACCACTAATGTGAAAATATGTTTAATAGGAATATAAATGTATAGCCTATATCAGATTGTGTGCCGTCTTGGGGAGGGTGGTGGGGAGGAAGGGGGAGAAAAGTTTTGAACTCAAAAGCATATGGAAGTGATTATTGATAAATCAAAATAAATTAATAAAATTAAAAAAATAATATACATCATAGATATCCCTTGATTGGTTGTAGAAAGCACCTTGTAGTAGTTACAGTTAGCTCCACTTTAGCCAAGGGATATCATTTCTGAGTGATGATATGGCCTCAATATCATCCCATGTCCCTTTTAGGGGCCCATCCAATTTATATTGTTTTTGGCTCTGTCTCTTCTGTAGGTGTCTTTTCCCCCACCCCTTGAGGTCCTGAGAACCTGTAGACCTTTGTCATTATTTCTGTCAAATACTTTTTTCCTTATTGATAAGGTTCAAAGCAAACAAAAAAATTTTTTTAGCCTTTTTAGGAACATTATTTAAATTTTGGCACTCTTAATTTGCTGTGTTCAGTGATTAATCAGTTGACATAGCACTGGAAGAATTAAAACTATATCCCTAGCACCTTGAAGGCAGGGATTTTTTTCTTTTTGGTCTTTGTATTCACAATGCCTTAGCCTTGGTTATATGCATTTAACACATTTTTTCCATTTTTAATTGTTTAATTTTTTAATTGAATTCTTAGTTCTGAACACTCTCAGGTCTAGGTACCCTTAAGCTGGGACACACTTTTCCAAAACAGGATAGAGGGAACTTAGAATGTGTGTTTCAGTAAATGATGTGAGATGGAATCTGTTTTATAGCCTGTCACTATATCTTTCCCAGGCTTACTTTCTCTTGCTCTTCCATATCATACACTTAATATTCTTTTCCACTCCATCATTCTCTACTTCCTCCAAGTTACCTAATTAAATACCATGAATTGCTAAATACTCAATATCTTCCTCCCACACAATACCTGATTCTTTAAGTTTACTCCCCCACAACTCTATCTCTCTATTTACACTCCTTCATTTACCACACCCAGGCCAATTTCCAACTATTCTATGTCCCACTACAGCCCTAATGCCCTTAAATGGGCCTAGGGAATAAGTACCAGGTGTAGGCATCTTCATTTCCCATAGTTATTCAGCATCCTCATTCTCTAAGATTCACTGCTGTAAAACTCCATCTCTTTAGCTCCAGTGTTCTCCTGATGATGTCATCTAGGTGCAGATTATAGAAAAATGACTTCCCACTCCAGACCACATCTTTACAGTCTTACAATGGACAACTTTAAGTGTATAAAACCAAAAACTTTCTACACACACATAATAAATACATATAGAGCCAGAAGGAAAACAATTGAGAAAAATCCTGACAGCAAATTTTCCTGATAAAAGTTTAATATCCAAGATATATAAGGAATTGGTACAAATACATAAGAACAAGAACTATTCCTCAAAAGATAAATCGTTAAAGGATAGGATTAGACAATTCTCAAATGAAAAAACACATGATAGCAACAGGAGCAGCCAGGTGGCACAGAGAATACAGTGACCAGCCTGAAGTGAGGAAGACTCGTGTTCCTAAGTTTAAATTTGACCTAAAACATTTCCTAGCTGTGTGACTCTAGGCAAGTCACTTAATCCTGTTTGCCTCAGTTTCCTCATCTGTAAAATGAGTTGGAGAAGGAAATGGCATTCCAATATCTTTGCCAAGAAAACCCCAAATGGGGCCGCAAAGAGTCAGATATGACTGAAACAACTGAACAATAAATTATATCACCAAACCTGTGAAAAATATCACTAAGAGAAATGCAAGTTAAAACAATTCTGAGATTCTATTTCACACTCATCAGTTAGAAAAAGATGGAAGCAAAAGAAAATAGCAGTTTTTGGAGGTCTTGTAGGAGGACAGATACGCTAATGACTGTTGCTGGATCTGTGAATTGTTTTGACTATTCTGGAAAGCAATTTGTAATTATACCCCCAAAGTCTTTCAACTATACATACCCTTTGAACCAGTAATAATGCTATTTTAAGTGTATACCCTAAGAAAATGAAGGACACAGGGAAAGAGCACAGATGTACAAGAATATTTATAGCAGCACTTTTTGTTCTGGCAAAGAAGCAGAAACAAAACAGGTGTCAATTAGGGAATGGCTGAACAAATTGTGGTATATTAATGTTTTGGAATGTTATTATGCCATAGGAAATTATGACTATGATAGATTCAGAAAAATATGGAAAGATTTATAAAAATTAATAATAAAGTGAAATGAGCAAAACCAGGAGAACAATTTATGCATTGACCCCAGTAATAATGTGAGGTGTGAACAACTTAGACTTCAGAACTCTAACCAAAGCAGTGGCCAGTCACAACTTCAAAAGGCTGGAGAGGAAACATACCTGCAGTCTCTTGGCTGAGAAGCGATGAACTAGAGGCGTAGAATGAGACATGAATTCTCAGATATGACCACTGTGTTAGCTTGTTTTACTTTTCTATACATAGTTGTAACAAAGGAGGGATTCTGTTTGGTGAGAAGAAGATACTTTAATATAGTGACAGTGATAGACATGAAAAATAGAGGTAGTGATAGAAATGAAAAAGCAAGAGCATCAATAAAACTTTTTTAAAGCACAGAAGGGGAAATTCCAAAAATGTGGAAGGGAATATAGAAATTTTGTTATTGCCTTGTTAAACTATATCTATATAGATAACTTTTTAAAAACTGTGTAACAGAAGATCACATTTCTTATACAATTTTCTTTGCTGTTTTTAATACTGTTTGTTCTTTTGACCTGTCTATATTTATTAGTGATTATTAGATTCATAATAAAAAATTTAAGGGTTCTAGTGACAATGGATGAAGTGAAATCACCTCACAATTAACAACTTCTGGTATAGGGATTTGATAATTTCAAATTTCAAATTAGCTTTTTTCTCTTTTAATCATAATGACTAAAAGGGAGAACTCGCATCAGTGAGATCAAAGATCTGTCAAAGTACTGAATTGACTATATTTAAATATCCCTTGGTCAGAGTAGCATAATCCATCAATCTTTCTTATTTAGAAAATACAACTGAACATTTTTAGATTCTCTCTTCAGTTCCTAGTCTTATATAAATACAGATATCTATTATATACATTCTTAAAATTGACACAGTTTGGCATTAATGTTTGATTACAAAATTTTGAATTAGAAGCAAGTTATGGTACTAGTACTGCTGAATAACACACAGGCAAATCTAGCACACCACAACTTTGTGTCATTTTTTCATTTTTTCCCCCTTGTACTTTATTTCTTATCCTTGCCCAGAATTCTCATTTTCTTTTTTTAATATAAATTTATTTATTTTTAGTTTTCAACATTTGCTTCCACAAGATTTTGAGTTCCAAATTTTCACCCCATCTTGCCCCTCCCCCCACCCCAAGATGGTATGCATTCTGAATACCCCTTCCCCTAGACTGCCCTCTCTTCTATCTCTCCCCCCCTTCTCTTATCCCCTTCCCCTTCTATTTTCCTGTAGGGCAGGATAGATTTCTGTACCCCATTTCCTGTATTTCTCATTTTCCAGTTGCATGTGAAAACATTTTTTTAAACATGTTTTTAAAACTTTGGGTTCCAAATTTTCTCCCTTTCTCCCTCCCCATCACCCTCATTGAAAAGGCAGGCAACTCAATATAGGTTATACATGTGCAGTTATTCAAAACACTTCCACAGTAGACATGTTGTGAAAAACTAACTCTATTTTCCTTAATCCTATCCTGCCCCCCCCATTTATTCTGTTCTTTCTTTTGACCCTGTCTCTCCTCAGAAGCATTTGCTTCTGATTACCCCCTTTCCCAATCTGCCCTCCTCTCTATCATCCCCCTGCTCTCTTGTCCCCTTTTCTCCCTATCAGAATTCTCATTTTCTAAAGACCAGTTCCTTAACCCAGAAAAAGCTCTTTTCTCAAAGAATTGCAATCTAAAGCTGTGCTGTAGATTAGGCCAAATGAATAAGCCACTGGATAAGAGATTTTTGGGAGATTTTTATACGTGGTTTAAAAAGCAGTACTTAGGGTTGGACAAGAAAAGTATAATGATCCCAGGGTATTAGGCAGGGCCTCTATAGGGAGGTGCTCTAAAGTCTTCCACAGTCTTGGTTTCAGCTTAGGATTTTGCCATTAGAAGATAATAAAGTATCATCCTTCAACAAAGACAGCAAAATATTAAAAAGTGTACTAGTCTTTCATTCCACCCTCATCTTCTTTCCTTTTTTAAAAAAGTTTTGGGTATGACCTAAGGCTCTGTTGGATATAACCATGTGTATTCCTAAGGGCCAGGTTTAATTTTAAAGTCTTTTTAATGATGACTTTATGGATAATTCAGCTCCAATCTAGAATATTCTTGGGAATATCTGAATTAGGTGCATTTCTAAGTTTCCCCTACAAGTGCTCAGTTCTCCTATAAACATCAAGCTAACAAGGAATATAACACAGAACACGTTTTTATTAAAGGACAGAGGAGGATCTAAGAGGGGAAGAAGAAAGGAATAAACGTTTAAATTAGCACCTACTATGTTCCAGGCACTATGCTAAACTCTGTACGCATATTGTTTCAGTTCACCCTCTCAATAACCCTGTTGTGCTGTGAATATTCTCATTTTACGGTTGAGAAAACTGAGGCAGACAGACTTGTGACTATGGCAGGGTGGCATAGGTAATAAAAGCCTGAAGTGAGATTTAAACTCAGCTTCTCCAGACTTCAGGCCAAGCTCTCTATCCACTGCGCCACCTGGCTTCTCTAACATTTTAGCAGCTTTCACAATATAATCTTTTAATTTCCCATTCGAGTTAATATTCAGCCCTTCCTTTCTCCCTTCAGAGGGCTTACAATTCCTACCTCCCCCCAAATCTCACAGGACCAATAGGGGAAGTCCCAATAAAATGACTGAATTTGAGAACCTCAATGAAAGGGACCATCTGAAAGGTTTCACTTCTTGCCTGCTTCTCTCAAGAGCTTTGACTTACTTCTTTGCTCTTGTGTCTGCACTTCTACTCTGTGTTTCATTTTAGTTCTTAATGTAACCTGCCATTCAGCGGTAATAATTTCTGGCTTGGCTCAGGAATCTTTGCCAGGCAACCACTGTATTTCTATTATTGCTTCCTGTTCCTTTCATTGCCATCATCTGAAAGCTCCCCTACCTTTCTCATAGCTTTTTCTCTCAGCAGGCCCTATTCACAACCTATTTGTGCCCTAGAATTTTGCTCATGCGTGATTGGGGTCTTAGGTCTGAATTTCCTTGGAAGTACTTAGATTCTGCCAGTAAGAGTTTTTTCTGTGTGCATCTGCTGTGTGTACTTGTAGACTATTATAGTTAAAAGGGACCTCAAATATTGTCTAGTCCAACCCCCTCATTTTTATGAAGGAGGAAAATGATTTGTCTTCTGACTCCAAGTCTATTGTACCTCATCACGTTGCCTAATCAGGTTAAATGAAGGTACTAATTATTTATTGTTAAAATTAATTTGTATTTTTCAGTTAAAACCACTTCAGAAGTTGATTCAGCCATCCATGTTTATGCATATTCCCCCACCTGTAGAAAGAACAGACCCTCTAACGTAAGTGCTTTTGAAAAATTTTTATTCATTGATAAATTAAAAAGCTATTTTTAAGATGGCTTCAGGAATCCCAATAATTTGATAAGTATTAGATGCCTTTATATACCAACTTATATTGAAATGTGAATTAAAATTGTGAATTAAATTAATTACAATGTGAATTAAATGAAAACAAAGTGAATAGCTAATATTTATATAGCACTTTAAGATTTGCACAGCACTTTACATATTAACTCATTTGAGAATTCAAAGAAAACTGAATATGAAATTTGAAAACATTTAGTATATAATATTGTTGAACAATAAGAAGAGGGAATCAGGGAAAAAGAATTCATGTTTAGAGTGACTCAGAAGGATATTCAGAAGTGAAAGGAGGTACATATTTCAGGGAGAGTAATGGAACTTGATCTGAAAAAAAGAGAAGACATGAATAACATTTGGTTGAAGCATTAAAGACACAAGCATGAAGGAGGAGAAATTAGGTACAAAAAATAAATAGGGATTCAAGAAAACCTAGCGTTATACTGGGAAGCTTTTCAATTCAAAACCATATACCTGAAATGGAAATGAACAGCATGAGGCAGGTAGCCTTAAGTGCACAAGCAAGGGCTAAAAAGCAGGAGGTTGATTTGATGTATATTAAAAATATAAACCTCCTTGAAATTTGTGGATGTTGGATTGGGGAAATGAGATTTTTATGGGAATTATTTTCCTTTCCATGTACAATATTCGCAAAAAAAAATAAAAATTTTAAATAGTAAAACTTCTCCTGCTTATGGCCGCCAGTGCTGAGGGCTTGCACTTAGGTAGGAGAGAAACTTAGTTACCCTTCTTTACTGACAAAAGCTATAGAAACCTTTTCCTGCTCCAGTCATTTTCTGTTGATCTAAAGCAAAGCGATAGCAGTGAATTACCTATTTTTCACAAAGAAATTCATGCCTTTTATCTCCTTTGCTGTGGCTGTTTTCCCTGAGCTTGCTTTCTTGCAAACAGAAGAAAACTCTGGAGGACTGAGAGGTCTCATCCCCTTTAGAATCATAGACCTTCTTCTAACCTCACTCACTACTAGTCTAGGGATAGATAAAGGAGCTGGCATGATAATGGAGATAGGGAGGAAATGAGGAGTATTGGTTTCAGAATTGTGCACATTTTGCAGAAAACATATTTTAGATACTTAACTGCATTTCTACTTTGTAGAAATGTTATGACACCGCAACTAATAGAATATCCAGCATTCCTGTCACCAGACTTGAATGTTACTATTGGGACTCAGCCAAAACCAACCCAAGCATCATCTCCCGTACGACTTGAAAAACTTCAGCAACAACCTCGGGACAGGCAAGAAAACAATTCCTCCCTTTTTTAATCTACATATTTGTCTTGTACAATAATTTATCTGCCTCTGAGATATGGAATTCTAGGAATAATCACTCTTCTTGTATTTTATTTGCTCTATTTTTTGCTAGATCAGTCAGTGACTGGTGATGTTAGAGGGATAGTGGTGTGATGGAATCAAAAAGCATTGGACTGAGAGTCAGTTTACTTCGTTTCTAGTTCTGCCACTAACTGGCTGTGCGATTTTGGCAAAGTAATTCAATTGTATGTAACTCAATTTCCTCTTCTATAAAATGAGGGGACTGGATTAAGATCATCACTGAAGTCCTTTCCTATTCTAATATTCTGTGAATGTATCTTTGTGGAGAAAAGAAAATACTGTTGAGATAAGAAAAGGTAACAAGTAGGAAATAAGAAAATATAAAACTTTGCCAATGGAATAGAAGAAACAGGACTACCTAGCTGTTGCTATTATACCCAAAAGGCTTGGGGTTGGTCATATCTTATGGTGACACATAAAAAAATTCAGAGATGGGGGTCACAGTGAAAACTGTCCTAAGTACATAGGTCTATAGCAACTTAAGATAAGGCCTATCCCTCTTACACTAATATTTCTAATGAGTTACAGGAAGAGTAGGCTTATCCCAACCCCTTTCACTCTTTAGTTACCAGCAAGTTAGATACACTTACCTCAACTTCAGTTAATATAATCAAACAATTTTCCCCTTGGTCCCTGCCTCCATTAATCTCTTTTAAAGAAAATAACTTAAAGGAAGTGGAATAATTAAGGCTGAGTTCCCAGGGTTGGTCTTATTTTAGTGACATATTCTTATCAATAGAGTCAGCAGGTAGATGTACTTCCATCTTAGAATTTACTGGTTAAAAAAAATAAGATTTTAATATATTGTTTTGAGAATGGGTAGCATCGCAAAAATTTCACACAAACTTCCTTTACAAATGCTATATACTATAGAAAGAAAGGAGATAAATGATCTTTTCTTTAAAAGATAAAATCAAAACAAAGGAGAAAAATCCTTCTATGAAGTTTTAGCAAGATGACTGAGTGGTCCTAACTGTACCCAGTACTCAGTCACTTCAGAAAGTCATAAATGTGCTTAATAAAATTTTAAAAAACAACCAAAAGTAGAGGGGAAAGGAAAGAAATCTTCATCGAAAATAATGTTATAGGGTAAATGAAAGTGAAGTCCAGCCTTCAAAAGGAAAAGACATACAACTAGAACCCTAGAAGAAAAAAAATAAACCAACACTAAAAACATTCAGAATTGTTAAAAAAAAATTCATTGATTGATAAAAAAATCTAGTACCTATAAAATATGAGGCATGGGCAATGACATAAAAATACAAAAATGAGACTTAACAACTTTTGAACATTTGGTGGGTAATCTTTATAAATCAGTAGATTCTCTGAGAATGCAATGTCTCATATGGAAGACAAAAATACAGAAATGGCAAAACATTGGTTGGTTATTGTCTTTTGTACTCAAAAAGAACCAAAATGACATCCTTAGGTTGTGGTTAGTGTACAGTGTGTCTGACTGTGACTGAGCAGACCAACACAAACTTAGAAGGCTCTACCATAGGTTGGGCACAAATAGTCCATTTGAACATTTGAAAGGGAGAGGTTTTTAAATTTGCATATCTCATGTTTCTTTTGAGCTACTGCAATTCTACTTTGCTCATAGAGCACAGTGCTTTCTTTCACGTGGGCACACCATGCTGGGTGGTTCTATGCCAGTATCTCCCGTGTCTCATAATGGCAGAACAAAAAACATAAATATAAATGGCATAACTAGAATAAATTAAGATTCCTGTTATCAAAACAACAGATAAGAAAACCTGAGAGTTTATTGACATCTAAACAGTGTGAGGAAGGAAAAGATCTGAGTACCACATCCTAGAAAGTCATACAAGAAAATTATTCAGAAGTATTGGAAACAAAGGGTAGACTCTGTAGAACACCATCACTCCAAGTTTACCTTAACCAGAAAAGCATTTACTAAATTCCAAAGCTTCAGTATCAAAGAGAGAATTTTCTAATTAGCTGGAGTAAGAAAATAACATAGCAAAGAGCATCAGTTTGAACAGTGTAGCATCACTCAACTAGGACATGTGATATTTTGAAAAGCTAAAGAAACTAACTACCCAAATTTGCCTGTTCTGTAAAAACTGAACAAACTCCTTCATGAGAAAAGATGTTTCCTTAATACTATCAGATACTTCCATTCTTTCCTCCAGAAAAAAACAAAAAAAACAAAAAAGAGAGTTAGACATGGCCTTTGACCACAAGTTGACCATGAAGTAGACTCCTAAGGCAAAAAAGAGTAAATTTAAAAAAAATAAGTGATGACTAAATGTTTATATTTTGGAAGATCTGAACATGTGCAGACGGCATCACCTTGCCAATAGGGCATGTCCATATGGACAATGCTAAGGTGCTGCTTTTAGGAAAAATGTGATGTCATGCAAGGGAAGTACCTTGGAGAGACTGAAACAGGTGTGAACATTCCATACCTGGTTCTGGTTGGCTAAATATGTATTGAAGAAGAGGTTTTTTGATTGGCCATGTAGGCATTTTAAAAGGCTTGCCAACTTCAACTATGGTCTCTGCCTCATTCAATCCAATGTATCATGGTGACTCCTTTGCTCTTGGTGACTAGTGAACGGCATGTAGTCTCCAATCTTGGTAGTTAGAAGATCAGAACAAGCCGTGGGAAGCCAGAAGTAAGAGTCCGCACCAGGTTAATCATCCAGCACAGCAATGGTGTGGTATGTGGTTTGCCCTTCATTCTCTAAGAGGACCATGATATCAGGAAGATGATGCCATAACTTGCAAGTGAATTGGATTTAAGTGAGGGTGCAGAGTCACCAGCCTCACTTTCTTCTCCAGAGCCATATGGGTCCAGTAGCCAGATACAGATCAGGACAACTGGACATGGCCCAGCAGCACAGCAATAATGCCCTAAGAAGCACGGAGTCTGAAGCAGCCTTTGGGGCTTTAGCCCAGCAGAAGGATTCACCACCAGTCATGCTGCATCTGGATATGAACTTGGTAGAACTAGTGCCATGTCCTACCTGTGCTAAGTTTTGAGCTTAATTTCTGCCCAACTACCCAGGAATAAAGCAGAGTAGGGAGGATTATGTCCCTGGGGAATTGGAGGAAATATTTGTACATTTGAACAAATAACTCTATTATCTGTGAAGTAAATATTTTTGTTCAGTCATTTTCAGTTGTGTCTGACTCTTCGTGACCCCATTTGGGGTTTTCTTGGCAAAGATACTGGAGTGGCTTGCTATTTCCTTCTCCAGCTCATTTTACAGATGAGGAAACTGAGTCAAACAGAGTTAAATGACTTACCCAGGGTCACACAGCAAGGAGGCCACATTTGAACTCAAGTCTTCCTAACTCCAGGACTGTCACTCTCCCACTGTGCCGCCTACCTACCCCTGTGAAGTAAATGTCCCTTTGTAAAAGCCAATTGGTGTTAAGTGGTTAAATGGAACTAGGGGGCTAGTACCTGGGCCCCTAAACATTGTTGGGGTGGAGGAGGGGAAGAAACAGTTTTCTCTAGCCGAAGGCAAAGACAATTTACTCCTTCCATGACCCTATTGGGTTGTCTAATAATCTTGAATGGAACATGTAACAGACCTGGCCCTGAAAATCTGCTCAGAGTCAACCATGTTACTCTTAGATGCTGTGAGGAAGAGCGATGGTTATTGTTTATCTCACCTCATCTGAAGGCCAATATGGGAAAAAAGACTAGCCATTAAGGAGGGAACCACAGTCCTTAATGTTCTCTCCTTCCTTAATTTTCATTCTAGTGTCTTTATTTTCTGTGTGTTATATGTCAGTGCAAGCTTATTAAGGGAGGAGACTATTTTGGTGGCATTCTCACAGCCAAGCAACAGTGTTTTGCTTGTGTAGTAAGTGCTTAATAAATGTTTGTTTATTTGAATTGACGTACTGCTAGTTCCCAATCTGGTTGAATAATGAATCCCATGAAGTGGTTGCATTATTTGAATTCCCATCAGCTTCGCACTTTTCAAAATTATAAGTACATGTAAAATATGATAATTGCTTCCAGCTCAAAGGAAATGTACACTGAACATTTTAAACCATAAGTTAATCTATTTATTAATAGCAAGAGGCAAGAAAAAAGTTTATTACAATGTAATAGAGTAGTTAACAGAAAGCAAAAATTAAAAAATTACTAAATATCCTACTTAAAGTTAATTCTATACTAACTGCATGACAAAAATATCATTATGATTATTTAAAATATTTTGATGGCATAGACTGAACTGTTTTCTGCTTCTTTAAATTTTCATACACTGGTAGTTGCAATTATTGACATCTCAGTGAATTTGCATGGTTATATTCTCACTCAGTGAATTAAGTATAGTTGGATGACCTTGGCCATTATCTAAAACTAGTAATGCTTTAAAAGATTTTATTGTCCTTGACACATTTTTCAACAGCTGGGCTAAAATCACTTGAAAACCATTCGTTGAAAACAGTATTAGTTACCTATGCTTTCTTATTTGACCACCTGATAATAATTGTCAATCAGATTGGCACTGGTCTCTAACCTGTGGTGGCTGGCGCCAAACAAAGCAGACTGGAGACAGAAGAATCAGGAATTAAACAGAAATTTAATTTCAGAGTGAGGAAAATGGCATGTAAGCAAGGACACATGTGTCAGAGCCCCGCCCCTTCCAGTGTGGAGATATCAGTACTTATACCAGTGGCTGCACAGTGAGCTGTAGCCCTGACAATGAAGGGTAACGGCACCAGGGTGACAAGTTTGAATCATAGCAGGACTTCATGATGGGAACATGGTACCACATGCTTGTCCAAGCTCAGAGACCACCTGATGCTGGTAAGAAACAATACTGGGATTTTACTAGGGCTGAGATCATCCAGAGATCAAGTGCAAGGGATTGTTGTTCTGCCAAGCTCAGGGCACAGCTTGCTTGCTGGGCCT